GCATACGTGAGTTCTGGTCTATTAACAAAAGGAGCACATCTTACATTTACAAATAGAAAAGAACTTAATGATCTGACAAAGGAACAGATGAGGAATAGATTTATATTCTTCTCCCCAAATAATTTGAGATTTTAGCAATATATATTCGTAGTATTTTAGGAATATATTTTTATTGAGCCCATAAATATTACAATGTCCCAGTGAGAAAACAAAGGAAACATTCTACTACACAATTTTGTATCATCTCATTCAGTTCCCCAAATGACTCAGGTTTTGTGTTTTTAATATTTCAACTCTTTATCTCACCTCTAGATCTGCTTGGAGACAACAAAACTGAAGATTTCATTATTTTCTTCAGTTACACAGCAACCACTATGCTTAAATTTTAAGAAGTTTTGTCATTGTTTAAAAGCTTCTTCTGATCTTGTGTGAGCGCCGTAACTTTCTAAGATGAACAACTATAACATTTTCAATACACATGGTGATGTCACGGCAAAAATATTGTTACTCTATAGTAATGCAGCAGCAAATTACATAGAATAATGGAGTAAAGACAGCCTTAAAAACAAGTGGTTTTCCAAAGCAACAGGTACAGTTAGTTGCACAATGTGACAGTAAGGGAAATGGCAAACTGTCATAGGAAGGGCATGTTGTAAAGGGAAGCATTCTACAGTTGCGAAAATGTTTAAGTGGATTATTGAAACATCTACAGAAATAACGCAAAACCCTTTCATATTAACTGCAAGTAAAAAGACCTGAACAACAAACCTACGTGATATGAGGTCAAAACATTTTTTCTCCTCTGGGTTTGTTTTCACTTGGCAGGTTAACAGATTGAGCTTTGCCGGGGGTCGGTTAGCCTATGTGAAGATAAAGCACAGACATTTTAGCATATCGATACCGACTGAGCCCTGCATTCCAAAAACACAGGCCATCCCACAGGCCAAAAAGACTTGAAAAACAGCTGTTACTTTAATTTTTAATAACCCAGGTTCTGATTTACATTATCTTCTGCATCATGGTTTGTAAACTGTATTTTCTTATATTTGGCTATTTTATTCACTGATAGTTGGACAGAAACTATAATTAGGACTGGGGAGAGGGGCAAAATCACTGCAATTATCACTACTCTGATGACCTTACCAGTAACACTTACCTGAAGGAATCAAGTATGACAGAGAGACAGATTCATTTTACTTAAGTTTAACCCTCTAACATTGAGACATTTAGTTAAAAAATTGTCTAGGTTTTCAATAATCAAATAATTTGTCTCCAGCTAATGCTTTTAAAGAGAGCCTAGATAACCAGTTTAGAACAAATGCTGAATCTTAAAATCTGTAATGGGACACACCGAAGGAAAGTAAGAAGTTTGCACAGAGAAATCTTGCAACAAACATTAGCAAAAATAAAATGACAGTTCATTACCAAAGAAAGTAGTGAAACAAAATATATTCTATAATGATGTAAGTTTTATAAAGTACCTCTCAGCTATTTCAGTTCCTTATTGACTAAAACGTGGCAATGTTTACTAAAAGCAAAATGTACAAGCAAACTTCCCCCTCTACCCTGCCCTGGTGAAATCCCACCTGTGGAGCCCTCAACATCAGAAGGACATAGACCGGTTGGAGCGAGTCCAGAGGAGGCCACGAAGATGCTCCGAGGGCTGGAGCCCCTCTGCTATGGGGACAGGCTGAGAGAGTTGGGCTTGTTCAGCCTGGAGAAGAGAAGGCTCCGGGGAGACCTTATTGCAGCCTTCCAGTACCTGAAGGGGCTACAAGGAAGCTGGGGGGGGCTTTTTACAAGGGCCTGTAGTGACAGGACAAGGGGCAATGGGTTTAAATTGAAAGTGGGGAGATTTAGATTGGATATCAGGAAGAAGTTGTTCACAGAGAGGGTGGTGAGGCGCTGGAACAGGATGCTCAGAGAAGCTGTGGATACCCCATTCCTGGAAGTGTTCAAGGCCAGGCTAGAGGAGGCTTTGAGCAACCTGGTCTAGTGGAAGGTGTCCCTGCCCATGGCAGGGGGGTTGGAACTAGATGATCTTTAAGGTCCTTTCCAACCCAAACCATTCTGTGATTTTGAAAAAGTCCCATAAAGGCTACAAAGACATTATTAATAGCATCTCTGCACTAATCTCTTTTTTCCCTTAACCCACCTGTCCTATAAGACTTAGGTAGGACCTACAAAGATGCTTTGTTTGCAACTATGACTCGAGGAATGGCTCGCACTTGCTACAACAGATACCTAGTTTCACTCTTCTTTTAGAATAATTAAATCAGAAAGCAGATAACTCGAGAGGCTCTGCTCTAGACAATATCTGAAAAATAACAGTTTGTTTAAATCATTAGGAAAACAGTATTATAAAGACACACTACCACACTTACTGTTGCATTCTAACATTTTAATCCATCAAGTTGCTGAAAAGACTGAATCATCTAAACAACAACTATATCAAATGAAGCTGATCTACCACATAATTAAATTTCAATGAATCATAAGAAACGTAGATCATCTCAGTCTCTTCTAAATTTATTGATGAAAACATTTAATTCAAAAGAGAAGGAAGAACAAGTCCAAAGAGTACAAATTTCCTTGAAACAGTATGATAAAAGGATGTATCTGGCCAAAAAAAGAACAAGAACATTATTGTATCTCAAGACTAGTAAAAGATCAAAACCATGCAGAAACAAAGGAAGAGAAACAATTACTTTTTTTTCCTCCTATTTAAAAAAAAAAGAAAAATTAAAAAAAAAAAGAAGCAGCAGCTCGGTGTCCTTGAAAAACAGCAAGCTCCTGTTTTGCCTAACATAAGCAGCAGACACAATAAAGTCATGCATGTTTTGAAACAACAAAACTGCAGGTCACTTGCTGGGCAATGTCAAACAAATTGTACCCAAGAGAGGTTTTGGAGGCAGCAAGATGACAATTATTGACAACCCCATTGTATTCTCTGCCTAGTAAATGGCTTTTCAAATTCCAGGCATTGCTTTTAGTAGTAAAAGCGCATACTGTTTTCATTATTTCAGCCTACCAGTGTCAAGAGTGCTTTGTAACTAGAAGGACACGAGAAAACATCTTGAAAATGCCAGTTTGGACCCATTTTCTTGGTTATATTTGAATATATTTAATATCCATAGCACTACGATTTCCAATGTTTACACTTTTAACGTAACTGTTTGTCCAAGAAGTGTCCAAAAATTGCCTACAATGAAAATACAAAATAAGCAAACAAAAATCAAAATATAAGTATTTGGTAAACAAGCCACCAGGAAACTCATACATACTTTTCTCAGCAGGCTGTATAAGAATGTAAAAATTCAAGATAATTCAGGTTAAGAATCCACTTGCCCCAGGACTTTGGATCTCAAGTGCATTCAGGACCTAACTAGTTTTCTGTAACTTTTGAAACAAGAAGTTGTAAATGGATCCACTAAAATGCTTCAGAGAGGTCTGAAGGACCACGATACACAGGCTCATCTCTCTGGATAGGACACACAGCTTAAGAACTCTGTACAGGACCTAAGAACCCAAAGAAATGGTTGCAACAACCTAAAACACATACTGGGCTAATGTGCTGATCTTGTAATCCAAACATATTCCAAAGCTTCTAACTGAGGACCATCTTATGCTCACGTCAGCATTAACAACCATGACATCTTCGCATGCGGCTGACACCACCACGTTCATCCTCTTATCCTGTGGCCGAGTAACAACCTCTCCCCACCCACCTCCCCAGTGTGTGGACAAGACGCTTCCGTCACGTGGCAGATGCTGCTCGGGGAGAAGTCAGAGCCTCGAGACAAAGGGAGCCAGGGCTATATAAATTCCTTAGGCACACTAGGCTGTATGTTGAACCTGAATCTCAGCAGGATTAGCAGACACTAGAAATGGACAATATAACAAATGCCTAACTGCTATTATGTTATTTGTTTGAAACCTCTGGATTTCTTTTTCCTGCATGAGTCTCTGATTAGACAACTAAATTGCAGACTACTAGGGAATTTTTGGACATCCATGTTAACACACCAACACCCTGAAAAGATGTGCTGCCATCTCTCATGCCATACAGGCAGATGTCAGCATCAGCTTGTGTTCCTGCCTGCAGGAATTGTGACCCTCCATCCACCAAAACTGACTCCTATGTTCTGGCAGCAAACACTAAGTGTAGGAATCAAAAAGCTATGCCTCTAAGGCCATACAGAGTAGTTCCACAATACAGAGTTGATTTTCACAAAAGGCACGAGCAAGTGTGTCCACTTAATAGACTGGTTGGCTGATTTCAATGGGCAATTTTCTAGGTAACACTGTGATTTCCTAAGAATCAAAAGATCAAATCTGAATCTTTTTGCGTTCAGATTGTCCCGTTAATCATAATGGTAGCATTTCCAACAATAATGAAAGAACAACAAATACAGTTTCCCTGATAATGAATCTCTTATATTCCTTTTTTTTTTTTTTTTGCAGACAATCAGGAAATTCCATTTAAGCTCTTAAAGCACAAACCAACTTTGTGGAATCTGAGGTTCTTCAAATGTAAGTTCTTCCCTTGTGACTTCTTGATACACAAACCACTTAGGAATTCCTATTTACATGGTTCAACCTGCTTCTATCATTGCTATCATCCACCTAAATTAAACTGCAGCCAAGTAGATGTCATAAAATTTCCAACTGCTAATAATTACACAAAGAAGCAGTGCCTGTTTTTCCATCAACCATTACCCTGCACACTGCTCTATGAATGCTAATTTCTTCTAAGCTTTTAGACGTCTGAAAGTCTAACTTTGCACATAAGCCAATGCAGACACGTGTATTCAGCGTTACAGCTACACGACTGACAAAGAACCAACCACATTCTCCCCATCCATATCAGCAAGCACTTGGCAGGCAAGTTTAAGCCAGAATACACCTTCTGCAACTGGCTGAAGACAGCTGTTGTAGAAACTAACTGAAAAAATAGTCCCTCATAAAACGAGAGGCTATATGACCAAATAATAGAAAACCATGAAGAATACTTAGCCTTTAAAGAAAAAACATTCACAAATGTCTATTTGATAAACCAAACAAAACTGACCACTGAATTTCTGAGAAATGGTTCATTTTGATGAACAGCTGGGAAGAGAAAATGACACATCATATTTTCAAGATCAGGAGATATTAACCCTGAGAAGGTCTGGAAATCAATGTTGTTGCTACGGAAGTCTCAGAAGAGATTCAGAGCAGCCCAGAAAATTCTCAATAGAAACCACTTTACCCATTTCAATGTCTGTGTAACAAGCATTAGGTTTTTTCACACAAAATCGTCATTAATACATAAGGGCAAACAGCAAATAAGTATAAGTACTTTTTAGGAGTATATTTTAAAACAAGAAGGTACTCAATTTTGTAATACAGAAAGATCAAGACCAAACTGCTGAAACCCACATATCTAAACTCCCATTTAGGTATCTACCTTAATAACTGATGTACAGCTACAGCTCCACTGATTTCAGTGAGAACTTACTGCTTCTAAAAATGTTAGACCATCTGGTAGACAGCTTATAAAAAGAGAAGAACAACAGTATCTGATAGACTCAGTAACTGTACTTGCATGTGAAAGTTTTAAAATTCTGCTCCACAAGTGGAGTTTGTAGCCTCTGCCAGCTCTGAGCTGCCGCAGCCACTGGTACCACTCCAGCATGTCCAGTGCCAAGCGCATTTACAGCACATGGAGACACCAGTCCAGAAACACTGAGAGACTTTTCTCTGACAAAGACACACTCATACGCACCCAAATGAGAACAGGGATAAACTGGTGGACAATTCCAAAGCCATAGTAACGACTCTACTTTGCAGGCCTGTTTTTGCACTCCTCCTTAACTCCTGCTTGTCAGCTCAGAAGGCAACAGCTTGTGGTTAGATGCACAAATGAGAGATTGATTCATTTCTGCTGCCAGGGTCAACTTGTAGTCATAGCAACAGGCATAACAGGATGAAGAACAGAATGGTTCATAACAGGATCAAGAAACTGGACTGTTTATTAGACTAAGAACGGGAAATACTGCCACTGAGTTGATTTTTGCCTTAAGAAACTTTCTTAACAGTTTTGGGAACACAACATAAAAAGTGAAAGGTTATGGGAAAGCAGAAACAGCTGAGTTCAAAGCCAAGTGTAAAAGGTCCAAAATATTAAAGTTTTAAAACTTTAAGAATAAATCCTAGAAGTTTGTTAATATGTTTGAAATATTAGTGGCAAAGCAAGAGGGACTTCTCTCTGACGAATGTCATCCCGGTAGAAGTTGCCTTCAGAGTTGATCTTCCCCAACAGCTACCCCCCAGGAAAGCTACCTTCATAACAGGTTACCATATCAGCATGTGGGTGTCCCTGCCCATGGCAGGGGGGTTGGAACTGGATGATCTTTAAGGTCCCTTCCAACCCAACCCTTGTGATTCTATGAAATATGGAGGAGAGAAGAGATTCAGCATTGTCTCAAGTTTGTTTTGTAAATATAAAAAGTTGCTTAACCCATATCAAAAAGATAGCTTAACACCCAGCTCTATCTTTCCAAAAAAATGAAATTAGGATTTGTATTTTTAGACAGTCTGGTAAAATATGAACAGTTTACACGAACTGAGTAATTAAAAAAGCCTTTCCCCTCCTCCACCATGTAACAGTCATGAGCATTGAAACAGTTGTATCTTCAGATACTGTGTATGATGATACATTTTAAACGGCTGCCTTAAAAAAATGTATCCGTCATATTCAAAATGCTCCATCAGGAATCCAGCTAATTCCAAATTATAAATATAGACAAGCATAGCTTGCTTTTTTGTATTAGCAACCATGAACATAAAATACTGTAAACAAATACTTACTGTACCATGGGAAATTGTAAGAAAACCATTTTTAACTGAGCACTTCCTTTTCTGCCACACTTTTCTGATTCTGATTAAAAGGGAAAAAAAAAAAGTGACACAGTTTTCAGTATATTTAGTGTTACATTACTTTGGCTCTTAGGATTAATTTTTTTATTTTTTCCAGTAAAATCCAGCAGCACTTACCCATCACTTTTCTTGTACAGACTACCATTTCGTTCAGTGCCATGTTCCTTGTTTCCCTGAGGCTGATGTAAACTGTAAGCTGTACTCTGACGAATCTGAGAATCCTGAAACACACAGAACAGCAAGTTGTAATGTATTCCATACTTACAACCACAATATCCCCCCGCTATTAAGAAGTCTCAGAGCCTTTCGTTCCTGCTCTAAAACTAACAGGCCAAATGGAGCACATTTTTCATACAATCACAGAATGGTTCGGGTTGGAAGGGACCTTAAAGACCATCTAGTTCCAACCCCCCTGCCTGGTTCCACCAGGCCAGGTTGCTCAAAGCCTCATCCAGCCTGGCCTTGGACACTTCCAGGAATGGGGCATCCACAGCTTCTCTGGGCAACCTGTTCCAGTGCCTCACCACCCGCTCCGGGAAGAACTTCTTCCTGATATCTAATCTAAACCTCCCCACTTTCAACTTAAACTCATTACCCCTTGTCCTGTCACTACAGGCCCTTGTAAAAAGTACCCCCCAGCTTCCTTGTAGGTATTGGAAGTTTGCTGTAAGGTTTCCCCGGAGCCTTCTCTTCTCCAGGCTGAACAAGCCCAACTCTCTCAGCCTGTCCCCATAGCAGAGGGGCTCCAGCCCTCTGAGCATCTTTGTGGCCTCCTCTGGACTCCCTCCAACCAGTCTATATCCTTCTGATATTGAGGGCTCCACAGCAGGATGCAGTATGCCAGGTGGGGTCCCACAAGAGCAGAGTAGAGGGGCAGAATCCCCTCCATTTTTCCTCCTCAATGAGAGAGAACAGGTTCCATTTCTTCTTCAGAGGGCACAAAAAACATCTGAGAAGTAGCCAGTATCAGCACCTGTCAAAATCCTCTTACTTGCTTTTATTTAGCTTTATTATGGGCCTTGATATATGTTTTTCTAACCCCCAAAATTATTGAGTAATGGACTTTCCAACTCATGCAAACACTGCAGTGTACGAACACTGAAAATTATTACTACCTGCAATTCCTAGTGCACCCTTCCATTGTAAAAACAATTACATACATAAATAAACCTGAAGAAGTAGTTTTCCTTGTGGACACCAAGTCAAGTTATTATCTGAAAAAGCACAAGAGACTTCCTAGAAACATACTTCTACGCCAAAACTTGAGAGCTATTAGGAAATAAACTTGCTAACTTGATTAAAAAAACACCATTTCATGAAAAAGATGAGATAGTGTGTTTCAGATATACTAGGAGTACTGTTGCAGATACATCATTTTGGGTTTGCAGAGTGTGCAGATGATAAAATAAAAATTACAGTCATCTGAAAGTATGATTTAAGAAGATTGTTTCTCTCTAATTACAACTTATCAGCCTAAGTATATCTCTGGATATAAGCAGGGGAAAAAGACCAACTACAACCAAGAACATACTTGGACTGTGCATTTCCCCAAGGAGTGCCAGCTCAGATGGAATGCTGCTCCTTTTACAGGCTCCAGCTGCACATTCTGCTACCAAAGCTACTAATGCACCAAAGCTGTTCAGGATCCTTCTCAACAGTAGTGGCAACACATGACAGGTCTGAAATACAATGGTAGGGACAGAGCTACCACCGACAGCCCCGTTCAGGGCACTCAGGACTCCACACCGCCCGGCTGCAGGATTTCAGGCCCATCCTGCATACCGTGCTGGAGCTCAGTGACCCTGAGAACCTTAAGCCAAGCTGAAGGCAGGCTGCAGTACTCCTTGGTGCTCCTTTTCAGCAGAAGCAACCTGTGCCCGCTTCCCTGACTCCTTAGTGACCTAGGAAGCCGTAACAGGTAGCTACAACATTTATCTGAGGCTTTTAAAGGCACTACCAAACCACTACTTAAGTGTCCATGCCTGACAAAGCATCCCTTCAGATCTAAACCAGACTGTTTATCATTCCTCTCCAGCCTGTTTACATGGAATTATTTGGTTTTGCACTCTGGCTGCCCAACGTAAAAACTTTTTAAAAGAATTCTTGCCACTGATTAAGAACCGCTGCACACATACGTTTACTGACTTCTGAAGAAAATCTGATCTGACGCTGCCTACTGTGTCCTACCAATGCCTTGATCCCTGCCTCCCATTAGCCAGTAAAGGAATTCCATTTCCAAGAAGATTAGAGGCCTTACAGGAACTTAATTTCAGTTCTCCACATCCTCATTTCTGTAAATATTTCAGATGACCTCCAACACCTGCCCACAGCTCCACTCCCATTACTTAGAATCATAGAATCACTAGGTTGGAAAAGCCCTTAGAGATCATCCAGTCCAACCGTATCTGTCCACCACTAAACCGTATCTCTCAACACCTCATCCCCCCGTCTCTTAAACACATCCAGGGATGGTGACTCCACCACCTCCCTGGGCAGCCTGTTCCAGTGCTTGATAACCCTTTCGGTGAAGAACTTCTTCCTTCCGTCCAATCTAAACCTCCCCTGGCGCAGCTTGAGTCCATTCCCCCTCGTCCGATCATCTGTCATTAGGGAGAAGAGACCAACACCCACTTCTCCACAACCTCCTTTCAGGTAGTTGTAGGCAGTGATCAGGTCTCCTCTCAGCCTCCTCTTCTCCAGGCTAAACAAGCCCAGTTCCCTCAGTCGCTCCTCATAAGACATATTCTCCACACCCTTCACCAGTTTTGTGGCCCTTCTCTGGACACGCTCCAGGACCTCAATGTCTTTCTTGTAGTGAGGGGCCCAAAACTGAACACAGTACTCGAGGTGCGGCCTCACCAGTGCCGAGTACAGGGGGAGAATCACATCCTACTGGCCACGCTGTTTTTGATACAAGCCAAGATGCCGTTGGCCTACTTAAGACTGTGAAGTCGCTTTTTGCTTATTATTTTCTGCTGCATTTTAGCTACCTCCCTTCAGCTGTTGTTTACGCTCAGCTGCCGTGTTTGGCCAAACTGGCAGGCCAGTAACACAAGCTTCCTGCTTTATTTCAACCAGAGAGGAAGCTGCTGTGGCTGACGTGTATTTCCACACATTCATTACTATGAACAGTATCTTTAAAAAATGTAATACTACTTCATCAAAAGAACTTAAGGACAAGACAAGGAGATTTTTAAATTTTAAATCCTTGGTTCAGGCCATGTCCCAACTGATAGTGACTGACAGATGACGGTTTTCTCAAAGCTCTCCGACAAGCAAATTCATGATTCTAATCTAGCTCCTAGCAGACAGGATGCCATACCACAAATCACCATCATAATTAACATCCTTCCGGGCAATTTCAGCATGCCTTTTCCATATGCAGGCTCCCCAAAGGATCTTCCCTTACTTCTGGTTTGCATATCGCACACAAGAGTACAAATCGGAGAGAACTGGGTCAGACCCAGTGGCCTCATCGGAGAGCAGGAACAATGTACACTGCCTATGGGAGGAAACGGATCACCGCAGGATATTATAGGAAACACCTAGCACAGAATATTGCCATTTTAAATCTCTCACTGAAGTACACAAGCCTAAGAAACTGAACTTTGTCCACTTTATCAGCTTTGAAATGCAGATAGGCCTACAAAAAAAAGGTGAGTCATTTCATCGCAGCATGTTTATTGTGAATCACTTCACTGACCACAAATAGGTTTGAAATGATTTCTTCCAAAGCCTTAGAAAGACTGACTGACTTCCAAATCAAGCTGAACAGCATAGCTAAAAAAGAAATAAATATGAAAAGAGTATTCTGTAAAGATGGTCTGTGACTACTGATAAGAGAAATTCTAAAAACCTATTTACCAGCCCCATTATTTAAACACAACAGAACTTTCCATACAGGGTGCTTTAACTTATACACGGCACATTTTGGCTAGCCATTCCACAGCTCCCATGGAGCAGGATTTCAGACTGTCCGGATGACTTCTGTGCTTAAAGCTGCCAAAAAGCCCTTACAGCTCTCCAAGAGCTTGAACTTCTCTTGCATTTGCAGGATCATTGCCAAGAGGAGGTTTCGGAGATCCATCCCTATCTATTACAGCCCCACAGAGCCTCCTACAGATGTATCTGCCAGAACACCCTGCAGGCAGCTTCTCCTATAGCACAGCTACCATAATTTTTGTCAGAAACACAAAATCTACCCTGTTTTGCTGTGGCCTAAATAAATTATAGGTTCTACCAAAGACGTAGAAGCAGCAGAAGCAGATCTAAACACTACAGGAAGGCTACCTTCAGAGAGGACATGCGAAAGAGAAATGAAGGCAATACGACTCTAAGGTGGACCGCAAAACTTGTAGGAACGCTACAGTTTGAAAAATAAAAGTTTTAGAATTAAAAATTATGGAGAGGTATACACAGTGATGCTTCAAAAAGAAATTTCAATACAAACGAGAGTTGAGGAAGTTCTGTGCAGGAGGAAACTATGTATACAAGCACGACAAAAAATGTTCATGATGAGTATTTGTGTCTGTCTTTTTTTAAAAAAAAAACCAACAGAAACATTTATCAACATTCTATTATTTCATACATGAAGTCCATTTTAATAAAAATAAATATATCTTCAAATTCTTGCAAGGACATCAAATCAAGCAACTGGATTTAATTCCCAAGAGAGTGAAAAGGAAATCACCAATTTGTCTTTCAGCAATTTTCTTTCCCAAGAAGAATCTGATAACTTTTTTTTTTTTGGTAATACAACAAACAAAAGAGGAGAAAAAAAAGAACCAGTCTTCTCATAAAACAGAAGAAATCTCAGAGGAAAAATCCAGTTTCTTGAATTCTAAATGGAAATCATGCGAACTATTTTCATTAGAACATAATAACACTTACTCTCCTAGACTTCGGTCACAAAATGTAAATGCATTTGAGGAAGGAAAAAGAAATCAGTTATAGTAAAGGAAATTACAGTGCAACAAGAATAATATTACTGGGTTGTACAGTAAATTATACTAGGATTGTTTGGCATCCTACTGATTAATTAATGTTTTCAAAAAACTTCATAAATAATTATAGTCCTGCTCATGCTCTGCAGGTAAGCATCTATACATAAAACTGCAGAATTAATAAAACACAAATCTAGTGCATAAAGCCCTCTTTACACTTGCATTTTTAAGTGCAACAAAACCAGTACAAGTAATAAATTTCTGTGTATTATTACATTTTTCACTCTGTGAAAAGATGTGTGCTCACCACATCTACCATATATGTGTAACAGCAGTATCACTGATAAACAAGTAAACAGAGAGAAGCAACATTCCCAGCAACCACGAAACCCAACTGCTCCTATTACCTCTCTCAGTCAACGGCCTGAATAAAACAGCAGGCCTGCTAACAGACCCTAAACAGCAAAGACTCCTTATGGAGAGTGGGCAGCCAGGGGTGAATCCAAAGGAGTCACTATTTTCCCTAGGATCACTAGTCTTTCATTCCACAGAACTCAAAATTTGGAAGTTCTTAGCAAATGCACCCCTCCGAGTCCTAAATGCTGGATAGAACCTAAGAAAGGGCCTGCAAACTGTATGTATTTTTAAACAATGGTCGTTATCACAAACTTCATGTGGTAACAAACAGCATCTCCACGTGAAGAGCGTTTAAGACATTCGAATGCCCATCAGCAAGTCATAGAATGGTTTGGGTCGGAAGAAGCCTTTAAGGATCACCTATTCCAATCTGTCCCATGGCAGGGACAACTTTCACTACAGCAGGTTGCTCAACAACCATCATCTGGCCACCGGTAAGAGGAGTCACCACAACCTTTGTGGGAAGATGAAAGTACGACCGGAAAAGATAAAGGAAGTCTGAGCACTACAGACTAAACTATTTCATTGTGCTCTTTCTCAGAAAGAGAATCTGAAAAGGGGGGAAGGGGTTCATTCATCACTTACTCATGGCCCAGCAGCCACACAGAGGAAGCTGGCTGGCATTTATTATATGAAGAGGAAGCATTAGCAAACTGAAACAAAAGTAGTCTCAATATTTAGGATTAGGCTATACAAAAGACGCTTACTTCCAGATCAGAGCTTGCCAAATAAAATTACTCCCTAATTCTTTAAATCTAACAGCAATCATTACTGAAACTCAAACAATACTTGTTAGATTGCTGAACTGACTCAGCTCCTGCACATTTGAAAACTGGCATCTTGCAGCAGAGTAGCCCATTTAATTGACATTTTTGCAGATGAGGACAAGAGGTGTTTTGGGATTTGAAGTTCCATTTTACACAATCTTTATACAGCTTGGAATACTATTGTGAGATAAGATTGTATTAATGGCGTCTCCTTGATACTGCCAGAGTTGTTCTATTCTCAGTTTGAGCAACATAGACACCACTGTCTGTCAGTTCACCAAGAGTGAAACACCTTAAGTATTTTGCAATATCGGTAACAAAAAGAAATCACTCTGCAGTAAGTCTCAGTTCTCAATGCCCACTCAGTCTCAGTGGGAATTCATTTTTTAAAAAATTACCTGTGTCAGAAATATTCAATATCGGCATCAAAAGGAAGATGAAAAAACAATAGGAATTTAGATGGCTGATAAAAGTTAAAATAACTCTATTTCAAATACTAACATTACATTAGAAGTAACTGAAATGGGTATTCCGAAGTTAAACCACCTTATATGCTCACCTCTTTCTGATCAACCTGGAGTGCTGATTTTAAAATATCTCTAAGCTGTGTTAATTGTCTCCTTTCCTCATCTTGTGCTTGTTTAATCTTGAAAGAAGAAAAACATAGGTTAAAAATAACATTACTGTTCAATTTCAACACATTTCTTCCAAACTTGCTACTTAATTGGTTCATTTTTTCTGAGAAACGCTCAGCAAGAATGAAAACACAAAGATAATGTGATCAGTTTATTTTCCTTTATATCTTCAGAAAACTTGATAATGGCTAGAATGTTGCTGGGTTAAGACTTTGATATTACCTCACACTGTTCTGGCTTCCATGTGTTCCATTTGAAACTGTATGTTATTTTCCACTTAGTAAACATTTTAGAGGAAAGACTGTTTTCCTAATGTTTTTAGCCAGTGGGGTCCTGCACTCAAACTAAGGCTTCTGGAGGGGATATGCAACCAAAATTTTACTCAAAACCTTAAAATGCTGACTACTAAAACAGTCAGCCAACCTGAACCAAAACGATCACAGTTTTACTGTTAGAAAAGCTTACAACAGAAATGTGAAAGATTGCTACTCACTGTATAAAGATCTGTCGAGAGTGTCTCAATTGAAGGCTTGAGACTTTCCACTGCTTTTAACCCATCCTGAAAGAAACTTAGAAGAAAAACAAAAGGCAAACTTATTCAACTTTGCTTTGTATTTTCTGTTTCAAAAGTTGCCAAAGGAAGACGTGCATATTATGCCATGCCATAAACTTCAAAACATTAAACGTTTCTTTTTTCTGCTTCTTTGATGGATCCACCTCTTTATTTCCATCATAGCTTATTCCAACAAGCAAAATCCCCAAATAGATTCAGAACTGCCACAATCCACAGTCACATTGTTTTCCTTATTCTCACCTCAAATGCAGTTTCTCATCTCACTTTTTGAAGGCCAGAGCAAGCAAAGATTCATCTGTAGAACAGCAAAAGCTCCAGAAGATATAAAATAATTGTGACTTCTTGGAGCCCAATAATTTCATGTCTGATGCAATCTTCCCACTAAAGCAAAACCCCTTTGTTTCCCAAGCATTAATTATGGACCATGTGCAGACTGAATATGCTGTATCTTACTGCATCGTGTGCATCTTTGTTTTGGCACATTAATGTTATTGATGTCAAGTATTCCAGCTCTTAAAAAAATAAAAAAGTGAGAATAAAAAAGTAAATTTAAAGAAACCACAACTACAGGCCCATTTAATTAAAAATTGCTGCACCATTTGCAACAGAAAGTATTTTCGCTCTGGGAAGCAAACATGAGAGTGAAAACACAACACAGTATTTATGTTGTTTAATTTTATTAAATGGAGAGAGCAGATGAATGACGTACTACAAGTGAAACTTATTTTTATGAGCAACATAGCAATATAGGGAAAAAGCCCTACAGATGCAGACTGGTCTTTTAAGATGAAAAGCTACTGATTTGAACAAGTTAACAGCAGCTCTTTCAAGTTTATAGCTATAATTTTATTACTATATTATTGATCTGTAGCACTATCATAAAAAAGTGTATCATTCTAATGAGAATTAATTAGAAAAAGAGTGATTCTTTCAATATAGTTTTATCCCAATGCTTATGCAATTATTTTTCCTTGAGCAAGGAATTAATTTAGATCTTTGCTAGATACACTCAACTAAGCCCATCAAAACTAATGGACCACTCACTACCCAATAGCCCAAACTAATAGCTGTTCCAAGAGTGGTTTATGAAATATGCCAAACTACTGTGCGGCACTCCTTTGGAACAGACAGTTATTTTCTGTGGGACTAGCTCAACCTCATCACGTGTTTCACGATACAGTAACAACAGCAACTAATCCATAACAAAAGCAGTCTGTCAAAAGGCATCAGCACAAACAGCTGAATCTTAGATTTTTAAAAATCTAGAAGTGTTACGATGATGTCAAAAGTTGAAAACAAAACATTGCTCCAGTTATTGTGTAGATGTAAAGAAAGCTAAAACATACTTGCACTGAGCATGAAAATACTTGATCAAGTTCTGAAGCAAGTCCACTCCTTTTTTAATCTTGATTTCATTGACTTTCAGCAGGTACTGTTTAAAACAGTAATACACAAAAGAAATTAATTATTACTGGTACAGCATTTTTAAAACATTTTATTTTCTGTTACATTTTAACAAGCTTTAACAGTTGCAGATTTAGAAGACCTAAATGAGAATGCATCAAATACTGGCTTCAAGGGTTGATCACACAAAAGCAATTGTTGTCACTGCTGATATTTGATACCCTGCAAGGCTACTTCACTATGATTAGTTCAAATTGTTAAAGCATCCCTCGTGGCTCCTAGTGGAAGCTTGCTCTAAGGAAAGCACGGAAGGGTTTCTGTAGTAAAGTTAGGAATCCATTCATAAACCTACCAGCCCATTTAGGCATCTATCTCACTCGTCATTCCATTCATTGCTAAATAGATGACATCAAGGAAGAGAGCAGTTTACTCAAAAAAGAGTGAGTGATTATTTTAACCATTTTTAAAATCTACCTTCTGATTTTATTGCTTTCTCTATCAATCCCTTATACACAGTAATTACAGCAAATTAAGGTTTGGCAAGAGATTTTAAAAATCTACTCTCAAGCTAAAAAAAAAAGATTAATTAGTATCCTTTTGCGTTAGGCACAATCAAAGTCCATTTTAAGTGACCCGAATGCAATAGCACAAAAGACACCAGCCACACAAGCAGAAGTAAGGTTGATCAAATATTTACAGGAGTCCTTAAATGTCCATTAAATTACAACAGTTTTCAACCCCTGCTTAGACACTGACATCCAAGCAAAGGACTGAATGTGTTTTTAGCAATGCACTAATCCATCTGGTTTTCCTCTAAGTACAGTGCACCCTAAATGTTTTGAACCTGCTAAAATAAAACTGTATGCAAGTGCCAGCTCCCAATGTTGCAGCTATTTATGCTGGTTCACGTGAACAGATGATTAGCCTAAATGTAGGCATGTGTATGGGGTTTGTGCAACGCACGATAACTGGATAGTATTTACAAGAATCACCTCTCTAGCTCCTGTTAATGTAAAATGGAGCTCTAGACATCTAACATTTGGTTCACTATCCCAATTTATAGAGAACTAGCCTATATTTATGATGCAACTTCAATATGTCCCACTTCTGATATAATGACAAAACCAAAACAAAGTCCCCTTTTATGACTCTTCAGAGGTAGTGGAGCATATAAACTTCTTTTCCCAAAAATCAGAAGAAATACAGGATGCACTTCAGCTATTCCACATTTAAGGTTAATTTGATCCAATCTCACAGGCTGCACCCTGCATTTTATTGTGACTACAACTGACTAAAGCTAACTCCTCCTTTACTGTGACACAGGAAGAGAGAAGCATCTGTTCCTGGTTGTTTCTTAGGAAGGATACAGATGGGCAATTAGCTGGCAACATCCATATGTATACTGGGTACTCAAATCCCTTCATCATTTTTGAATACTTGAGTCTGACTCCATATAGGAATGTGAAGCCTTTCTGGTAAGTATAAGTGCATGCTGTTACTAAAATTGGTATTCAGGACAACTGCTGTTGTCTTGGAATATGAGTCAAATTAGCTCTAACCATCACAGCAAAACCAGAAGAAACATCCCTGGTATATTTGTGAGTTAATGCATCGACAGAACAAACACAGCAACTTTAATTCCCAACCACGGAACCTGACATGCCCTTAAACAAATCGAACCAAAAATATTCACGTCAGATTTAACTTACTGCAAAATCACAAAGATTTCAAAGTAGAAACATTCTGAAACATCTTGAAAGACAACTGCATTCCATCCCTAGCACTTTTTTTTCCAGCACCAGCCCAACAGTGTGCGAGACTGGAGTCTCTCCTCATAATAACGCAACAGCTGCCAGCATAGGGAATGATGCAGAGAACGATCTAAGGCTTAAAATAACTTAGAGTGAAGTAGTGGTAGTGTAAAGGCTTATTTATTATCATCTCTTAGTGTTTAATTGAGCTTTGCATTATTTATTTATTCTACAATTTACTTGTTAAGTGAAATTAGAGAATTCCCTGCACAGTTAGCACTTCAGAGTAAAAAAAATGTGGTTTACACATGGAGTCCACTAATAACTTGGCATTTCCCTCTAGCGTCACAGTTCCCATTAAACAACTGTGTTTTCACGGCTCAATCTTACCTCACACATCTGTAACTGGAAGAACCTTCTCTCTTTCTCCATCTCTTCTGCAATTTCAGCTCCACTTATTTCTGTACGGATCATCCCATGCAGTTTAGCATGCTCTTTTTTCTCTTTCTCTATTTTTGTACTGTAAGGCAAAGAATCAGCGAATGAAGTGAGAAATACACAGCCTCTCAGGAAATCTGATTATTCACAAAGTCTACTGACAGATGCAGAGCCAAACTCTGGTAGCTTTGCATACGACTTGCTTTCAGATGACATTTCATTTGAAATATGACAATGACTAAAGATCAGCAATGACATACAGTAGCTGATATCTAATTCAATCATCTGTCAAAATCATGTCCTGACAGATATTACAAAAGGAGATACTAAATGAGATGAAGATACTAAGTTCTTGCATTAAGAAAAAAAAATCCAGAAACAAAATAATTAATTTTAATAGAAAATGTAGGAGGATGTTTAATCCCAACTGACCAAGCACTAGTTAACAGAGTTCAATTATGTCACCAGATTTATTGAGTCTTGCCTGTCATCAAGTCATCTTCTATATATACAGGGTTTCCTAAGCCAAAATCACAGTTGTCATCTCTACTTGCTCCTGAGCCAGTTGGCACTGGGAATGCCGGCCAGCCGGCTGTGTTGCAGACTTCAAAGTCTGCTAGACCAGCTGTCCTAATTCTCTAAAAGTTTCCACAAACATTTTCCAAGAGCTCTGAATAAAGCAGGTTCTCCTGCAGCATATAAATGAATGTGATGCTTGCCACACAGTATCGCTACCCTGAACACACTTGTGCATTTGTTACAGCTCTTCTCCGTGTTATTCCTAAAGGCATAACGTAATTATACTACCCAGTTAGGCAAGCCTGATATGAAAAAACACTATTAATAAGAGAAAATACATGAAGACATTTATTTTTTGGAGAAAGACTTTCAGTTTGCCACTTGTACTGTTTAGAAGCTGAAAATTCTGGAAAGAGCTTCCTGAGGAAACGCTGTACTGCTTTTGAACAAGAGGAAGCATTACACAGGAATACAGGAAGCAGATGAGAGGAACAAATAACACAGGCTGCTGTACCTCCTCTAGGGCAGTCAAGTGTCTCTCAGCTCCCTCTCTCTGAAAAGATGACATGTCTCAAGTGCTCTCTTAACCTATGTTAACATTACCCTAACGGTTTACGGGAGAATGTCCTAGATAGTCTAAGGATTCCCAGTCCACAATATATTCCGTACTTGCACTTCTCAAGAAGGAGGAACTGCCTCCTCTTACACCTCAAGCAGCAAGGGTAAACTAGAATTAATCCCATTAATCCCATCCCATTACATTCCCATAGGGCAACACTTTAAATGGCAACTCAGGAAGGCCCGCTGCGCTCTCAGTACTGGCAGGCACGGCAGAGCCAGCCCCGTGCAGCATTCCAGCGGCCAGCACATCCAGCCAGCACTGCCTCCTCAGCCCATCGCATCCTGCCAGAAGCAGACATTTGGAAGGAAACTCCTCCTTTTTGAAATAAATATTCTGAAAACCTTCACCTGCCTGAATAAAACCTCAATTCCAGAACGTACAGTTTCCATCAAAAAGAAATCTGTACTCTTAGCCACTTACTGCCAACTATGGCATTTTGTAGCCACAGAACACAGAGTCCAAAAACAAGAACTAATCAGGCATCAACCATGAACAAGGAAGATAAGCCATTACAAAAGGATTCACGGAAAATAAAAACACAGTTCCTTTCTAGCACACACTCCAGGAGAGTTTACACTATATCATACTTGATAGTTCTAAAAAAGTCAAACCTCAGAGCAAAGATCAGGATGGTTTTAGCTCTCTCAATTTCCACATTAATGTACACTTCATGAGGCCAGAGAATCCACTGAAATGTGAGTCAAATTTAATAACTATCAACTGCTACTGTATTGTATTTTCATTGCTTACAATGAAGAATACTAAAACCTAGGATGCCATAACCACCTCTAAAATTTTAAGAGCTTATTAACATTATAAGGTGTCCCTAAATGCTACTTAAAACAAAAGCCAACCAATACTGCCAAAGAGTGAAGCATGATGCACCATTATACAGCGTATGTTGTCGTAAGAAATCGAATTCCTTTTGAAGAAAAAGCTAGATTTCGGTAAAAGAATCCTTTCTACTCTTTAAAGGGTAAATCATACTCCACAGGTAATTAGTTAAACCAAGACTAAAGCATACCAACATCTACCACATAATTCAGAGAGACAAGACATCCTCAAAGCCATTTGCTGAAGCTTCAGGCTCCATGGCTTCAAAAACTTCAGAGATGCTTTACAAAACACAAACCATCTCTCAGTGACAAGTAGGAGACACACATGGTGGCAGCTTTCACATTTGCATGTCCTTACTGCTCATCATTTTAGTCTCAAACTAAATCTTCAGCTTTGTAATCCAGAATCTAACCTGTTGTTTTGCCTCAGTAATGTGAGACCGACTGATACTACCAGGCACTTTGTTTCTAGGGAAACAAAGAAACCACCCGCAGCATGCAAATATTCCAGTGCTAAATGTTGGTTGTGTTTCCTATCCCAATGCAAGGATCAGCTCGGCTTCAAGTATCACTCTGCTTGGACATGAACCAAATTCTTCTGGCAAAGACAGTTCTGCCATGTACCACTGTGGGAGTTCCCATACTGCAGGTTATTCAGTTTCTGAGGCTGATCAATTAAGTAAAATTAAGAAGAAAATTGGGAAAACTCCAGAAAAATCCTCTAGAAGTAACGAGGGATCAAACGTTTTGCAAAGCTGCTGTTGTCGAAGCTCACGGAGCACGTATCACTTATATATGTTTTGCTGACTAAGGTTAAAATCTGAGCACACTTCAGTCCATTTACAATGCAGCTGCACATGACTAATACCCAGTGAGCTCAGATCCGTGTAACAGACAAGTAAAGCTGAAGGACAGGATGAAGAATTTCAACAGAAAAGTCGATCAGATACAAAATAAACAGTCTTGCTCATTCAGTTTCCACTATATGACTATTTTTAAAGCTCCAATCTGCAAAGTAACTGGGTTTCAGTATAAATTTTAATTTGTATCTCAAATCAATTTTGTCATAGAGATCATGGTATAAATAAACATCAAAGTAGACTTCTAAATTTTAAAAGGACAGGACCTATTTTACTGTTTAACATTCCAAAGACTGGTATTTCTTTTCAGCCAGTGACCAAGAGTACAACTACAACAACCTGTGTACACGCAGCAGTAGTGAACTGGCTGGCTGGGCAGCAACTCTTTGTTCCTATCCCTCCCTGCGTAGGGGAAGCCAGGCTGAGTCTGGGTACGTACATGAGAAGTGCAGAGACTGGGAAGAACACCTGGAAGGCACAAACATGAATGAGGAGCACTCTGGAAAATGGAGTTCTCCCAAGGGCTATTTTGTTTGACAAAATAATACTATACATTTAATTTCAAATATATTTCTTTGTCTAGTCTTCCTTTTCAGCCTGACTCTCCAACTTCAGCTCCGCCATCAGTGACAGAGCCTCCATCTTACTTGATTCTACTGTCTGTCAAGGCTGACAGTGAAAGGTGACCAACTCTCTTATGCCACCCACGTCCTGAATGGAAAAGTCATCGTTCTCCTTTCACTCATCCTGCACTGGAGGAAGGGGGAGAAAAGGGCAGAGTAAGCCAAATGTGCCCCGATCTTAACAGTATTTCATCCATGGTATCTGCAGATTCATTCAAACCTTTTCCCATTTAATTTCCAGGTAATCTCTTTCAAAATAAAAATACTTAACATGAAATCCCAGGCTTAAAGCAGTATATTTTGGATGTTGTTACCTGGACTTTAGTAAAGCCTTTGACAGCATTTCTCACCACATTCTCCTAGAGAAACTGACTTCATGGCTTGGACAGGTACACTTTGCTGGGT